GCCATTTGCTGTCTGACAAGTCAGTTCACTATTGTACAAGAGCAAAGGCTTCTGGGAAAACAGAAGCGTAGTACTGCCAACCAACACTACCCGAGGGCCTGAGAAGACAGAGTCAAACTGTTTTAGTACAGCAGGTACTTGTCACGTACTATATTTAGTATACATGTGCTATCGCTAGTGTACAAATTAAATTAACTGGTTAACAAACAAAAAAAAAAACAACTCATGCCACTGTGAGGGTGTAAAAAGCAAAGCTGTGGAATTTCATACCATATATAGTGGTTTTATGCAGGGCATAAGTGTAGATCTTGTCATTGTCATAAGCTACAAACACTCCTCTGTCAGTGGGCCAGTTGTCCCACAGCACTCCTGTGATGGTGGGGGAGAAGTTAGGGAGCTCAAAGCAGGAGTCCTTCGCCTGGATTGGAGATGAACACATCCAGAGTTGTTAGATGTAAAAAAACATTTTTCATAAATATGTGGTTTAAACACAAAAGAAAATACGTTGTCACAAGGTTTGTCCACAAGTGTTTCTGGGGTAAAGTAAGAGTAACATCTTCTACTGACCAGTGATGTTGGTAAAAGAGAAAACATAAGAGAACTGCAGATATTAATAAAATATGTTATCTGAATGAGACAAAAGTAAAAGTTAACAATGGCATTTAATTTAATTTTTAATTTAATAGCACTTCACTATAATACTGCACTGTTGCTTACAACTATATATATATATATATACTTAACTATTATCATTTTAACAGAATTCTGTTTAAGCTGTGTGTATTGTTGGGCATTAAGGAGGAGATGATTTGTACTCACAATTGCAGGGCAGAGCAGAAAGCCACTGTTCCTTTCATCAATGAACACCAGCCATGTGCCGTTCAGGTCAGGGAACACTCTACTCACACCAACAGAGTGGCTGTAGCTGCTCACAGTCTCCCAGTCTTCCACCAAGACACATTCCACATTACCTGACTGAAAACAGAAATTACTCAAATTAAAATGAGTGACAGGTTGATTGGGAACTCTGAATGTAATTTATGTAAAACAGATCTTCATTTTACATCACAGATAAAGAGAAAAGAAAAGAAAGGTTTACAGTCACAAAAATTGGGCAGAGTTGACTATCAGAGATGAGAATCTGCAGAGTCTCACATCTGTGCCATAGTAGAGGAAGTCAGCAGTGAGGGCATGGCAGAGTATCCGTCCTTTTCTCTCATCATCTGGGAACAACTTCATCTGTTTCTTCTCCTCATGGTTTTTGCCCTCAATCTAAAAGAGACCACAAAGACAATAGTCTTATTTATTTATTTATTATTTATTTTTAAGTCAGTGTTTAAACACTGAATAACTCACCATGTGCAGCTGCACTTTTCCCTCAAACAGCGCTGCTGCATAGTCTGAGTTGAGGCACATGCGGGAAACTGTTCCTAAATACTCAAAGTCCTTGAGCTTCTTAAAACCTGATTAATACAAGAAAATGTTGATGACAAAAAGGAACTGAGCGATATCACAATGACAAAAGAGAAGTTTATCATACATCATACATACCAGGTTCTACCAAAGCATAAAACCAGGCTCTGTTGTTCATCCCCACAGCAACATGACACGGTCCTACTGCTATAAAAGAAGGTTCAACATCCACTTCTATAACCACAGGGGATTCCTGTTCAGATGGGGAATCAGGGAAGATAATTTATATGATTCAAATGAAGTTTATTTTTTAAATGTACAGGTCAACCGAATGTGTTTAAAAGGTTTATTTATATTTTATTTTATATACCCCTTCCACATGGTTGGAGACAGTGACCTCAAGCAAAGAGGTGAGATATGCTAGTCGGGTACCGAAGCTGTCCCCCAGAATGGGAAGTTTGGTTAAGAAGACGTGAAGGGTCCCTTTCTGGGTAGACACAGCCAACAACTGTCCATCATCTGTCCAACTTAGCTTGTCTAGACCTGAGTAGGGGAAGGATGATGGAAATTAGGTCAGAACGTTCAACAGAAGCTCTTTACTTCTGTTGAACCTCATTTTACCTTTAGTTTCATCATCCAGTCGAATAACATTGCTGATATCTTTGATCTCAGACAACTCGTGAATTTTTATGCTGAAACAAGACATACAGAATGTGGGTTTTTCTTATTAAAAAAATAAAACAGTTAATTTCTGTTGAAAGCAAGTCCGTACCAGTTATCTCCACAGGAGGCAGCCTTGTTCAGTAATGTTGAAATAGCAACAGCGTTCAGACATTCTTTATGGTTACGGGCCTGGTACAGCTCCTCTCCAATCTCTCTGATGTGAGTGGAGATAACCACAAAGAATCCATGGGAGAATCCAATGAGAATATATCCATCACCGTACCTGGAAGTGACAGCATATACAGAATGAATGCAAATACCACTATTTTAACATTCAACATCATGTGTGTCTAGACATGAGCTCACCAGCGATAAGAGACAATATTCCCATAATGACGCTGGAAGGTCAATTCTATTCGGTTGTCAGGATCATTGACATTAAAAAGCATCAGTATTTTGTCTGTCGACACACTCACCTGAAAGATGAATAGTTACAGTTAAACACTACAGCTATCAAGTAAGATGGAAAAATTATATTTTAGAATTTAATAACAAGACAGTGGTTAATACCAGACAAAAACGAATAAATCAATTCACTATCTGAGGTGAAAATATGAATTTCACTTACGGTACCCTCTCCTTGAGAAGACCTTTCATCCGTCTTCATCACTGAAAAAAAAATTTCAAGAGGCTCGCCACGAAGTGTGGTCTTGGAAGACAGAAAAGACACATGCTACATTAATTGTCTATATTTCGTTTCTCTCAATACTGTCAGCCACAGTCTAATGTCAAAGGTCAATGTCATAATTAAGTACATACCTGTCTGATGGTGTCTCCCTCATGGTTGCTAATGGTAAGTGTGTTATCGTCACTTCCAAGTGCTAGTAGATTTTGAGCACTCCAACAACCACATATGATCTTTTTGGTGTGTTTGCCTGGTATGTATAGACATGGGTCACAAATGTAATTGTAGAAATTACAATATAACAGATATAATTAATTAGGCTCTCTGTATGGTCTGTTACCCAAGACAGGGATCTTGCGTGAAGTTTGTTGATTGTAGATTAAAAGATTTCCTTTCACAGTTCCTACAGCCAACAATGGGCCAGTCTTTGACCACAAGATAAAGGACATCTGATCTCTGTTTTTAAAAATAAACATGACAATGAAAAATCACAGTTAAATCTAAAAACAAATGTAATATTAAATATGTCAGGCTTGTATTGATACCTCATTCCACTGTCTATCTGTGATGTCTTATTGACACTAGCATCCCAGAGGTAGATGAAACTGGATTTTGCAGCAATCACAGCTAAAATATCTCCATCCTTGTCCCAGTCCAAGCCCACACAGCGTCTAAAAGAAAATATAAAGACATATATTGAGAAACAGCAAAGGGACTGGTGACCTCACTGAACAATTCTTACTTACCCAGAAAGGTTGACTTCAGACCATTTGAATCCATGTCGGTCAAATATTTTCACTGAACTGTCCTGTCTATGTTAGAAAAGGAATGGAGATTTAACTTACTGTTGTAAAGATAAATGTGCGTGTACATTTACATATATCCTTTAACACAGCAGTTTACTCACCCTGCTACAGCTATATAATTCCCCAGGCTTTTCTGCCATTTGTACAGTAGACCAGAGCCAGCCCAGGCTTTTTCTGATAGCGTGAAAACGTTCTGTGAACGCAACATATTTTTATGTAAGTATGAATATGAAAACAATGTGCATTTACAAGTAAAATAAAGTTAACTTCACAGCTTTTTGAACGCCTTTTTGGCACATTTTGCCTGTAAATCCAGAATAGCGTCGAACATAAATGAACGCGGACTGGAGAGAGTTAAAGGGCGTAAATATTTTAGCCCATCAAATCTGCTTAGTATAACAATTTACTGCTAGCAACTTTTAAACGTTACACCTATGACTCTTTAAGTTAACTCTCCCGATAGCTCTTATTGTTAACGGCCATGTTCACGTTAAACTGTTTAAGAATTCAAAAACTTAGCTAACACAGGTGCAGACGTGATTTCTAGTTAGCATCCAGCAGTTATACAGCTAAGCTAATAAACAGCAGCGCTAGCTAGTTTCCAGAAGTCCCTTTCTTTTCAACTACCTTGCATTAAAACTACATTCAAACGTCGTTATTTCTGATCGTGTCGCTCTAAAAAACACTCACCTTCATGTTAGTGACGATGTTTTCATTTATTCTGTATTTACATCAACGCTTCGATGTGAAGCGTCTGTTTTTGCAAGCGATGTCATAGTAACAACCATTAGCCAATAGGCAGAAGTCTTCTTTGAACGAATCTTTATTGAACTATTCTACGTGAACAGAGACAAGTTCTAACAGTAAACGACTATTTTCAGAAATAAAGTAAAATGTGTACTTCTCTTTGTGCGAACACAGACACACACACGGATATATTTTAATAAGATATACAAAAAATATACACAATATATAATATAATAATTCGTTATATATATATAAATTATATAATATATCCAGAGAAAACAATGTGACAAACAGAAGACAAATGGCACGATAGCCTGGATAGATTAAACGTATAAATATTTGTCTGTAACAGTCGTTGTTATTGTACTGGTACAATAATGAGTTTTAGAAGGCTACTGCTATTTTTGGAGTGGTTTTTGAGAAATGGAGCTGATGCTTTAGCCTAATTCATAACAATTATATTGGGAGATGTTCGTTTAGACCTATGTCATAAGAGTCATTTTTAATGCATGAAATACAAAATATAACAGCTGGTGTAATATATTTTTAATAAAAATTATTTTTTAAAATCTCATTTCACACATTCATGCCAATAACAAAATAGACAAACACCTTTGAAACTAAACATGACAAATGCCACAGCATGTTGTTACTTTGTTGCTATAGCCAGAGTTTATACTGCATTTGTACCATTTATTATTTACTATTTACTAGTTAAATTACCAGTGCAGAACTTGACTTTGTCTTTATCATTATAGTTGTTATTGATCAGTCATCAGATATGGAGAACAATCTAAGATCTTCTTCACCTGTTTGACATTCAGGCTCTCAGAGCACATAGGACACACTGATTCTGTCTCCAGCAGCCTGAAATAAAACATAATAATTAATACAAATGAAAAATATCATTAAGCAAGTTGAGGCTGCAACAGTTCACAGCGTTTTAATCACATCCGCTATAATCTGATTAAATCTGTGACATTTTAAACAATATTATCTAAACTGGTGATACAGCTTGTGTGTGTGTTTGTGTGTGTGTGTGTGTGTGCTGCTCACAGCGTAAACTGCGAGTAGAGAGCAGGAAATTCACAGTGAGGACAAACAGACCAGTCTTCTGTCAGCATGTGGCGGCCCTTTGTAAAAGAAAAGAAAAAAGATCAGACCACCGTTTTCACATGAATCCATTTACAATAGTGTCTTTGTGTTCTGTACCGTGGCAATGCAGTAAGGCAGGTTGTTTCCGCAAGAACTACAAAGAAGTTCAGTCTGTGGTAGATGGAAGGTACAGAAAGGACATGGAGTTGTCCCCTCCTCCAGCTCTGACGTGTCTGGACGTCTGTGAATGGCCAGAGCAAACGAAAAAAAAGGCAAAACAGTGTAAAGACAGTGTTTTCAGGATTGAGGACATGGAAATAAAAGAAGCTGGGGACAAAAAAAAAAAGCAATCCGGAAATCCAGACACTAGTCTCACCGAACCATAGTCTCAATTTTTTTCTTGTACTTTGGGTCAATCTTTTGTCGGTACTCTGGTCTCATCAGCATTACACCAAAGTTGAAGGCAGAATTCCTCAGTCCGGCACGATGACATTCAATGACTGCTGAAGTCAGAATGGGAACGGTATCTGCACAGAAAAACGCCACAGGGCTTTTAAGATTTAGTGACCTTTAACTATCAAAATAATATCTTATTTTTAAACTTACGTGTTGGAAACATGTCGATGTTGTTGCTGACACGTATGAGCATGCGTGCCCCTTTCAGGTGGTCTCCCTTTTTGACATGTATCTACGTCATAACACAAATTTTGATTTTAAAGTACCCTCAGTTTTTTCATTTTCACTGAACTGTGTTGAACACAGATAGACAGATAGCTAGACAGACAGACAGACAGATAGATAGATAGATAGATACGATAGATAGATACGATAGATACAGTAGATAGACTAAATTAAGGTTATCTCAAACACATCACTGTACTGACCTGTCCAAGCAGAAAGGAGTGAAGGATCATCAGATTTGTGGCCATCTCGGCAGGGATCTTTATCTTCTGGCTCTGGAGCTCCATATACATGCTAAACAACAGATCATGGGCGTTACGGTAGTTCCCTGCAGGAGAAGCCGAATCAAAAAAATAAACATTAGCACAGTTGCATGGTTTTGGTTATAATTTGTTATATTGCTCTTTTTGGCCACATGATAAGAGTAAATTCGAACCAGCAAACTGTGCTTCTCTGGCAATGATGACGGCAGTTTGAGCCGCCTCCTTGTACTGCTGCAGCGCCATATAAAGACGGAAAAGGTATTTGACATCCTGTGCAGATATAACATGTTTAAATCAAAGGCTATAGTAAGGGTTAGGGTTATAAAAAAACTTTATTTATCTCCCTTTGGAAAACATTTTACTTTAAGGAATAGAGTGCCCTTAATATGTGCAAAATAAAGTTGGAATTTAGAATAATTAATTGGTTCCACAATTGCTAATACTACACTTAAACATGTCTCTTAATGGAATATTTCAAACCAGTTCCACAAATACAGTAAAGAGCCAATGTTGATTAATTAGTTGATTAATCGTAGTTCATTCGCCTATTTTTCCTACCTTAGGTATACCATCAGTCTCCCCAATGAGGTAATTTATCAGCTGGTTGGTCAGAGAGCTGTCTTTGGCTTGACCCACCTGGAGTTAACACAAACAGAAAGAAAAGTCTAAGCTAGCAAATTCTTTTTTTGTTTTTGTTCAATATATACAGTCAAAAGCACAGAGCTCTCACCGTCTCAACAGCCATCTCCACTGCCAGGCTGTCATCTATGTTTGGACACGTAAGGTAGTGTTTAAGGGCCTGTAGGAGGTGTAAATTAAATACATTTAACCAATAGGTTGAGTTTTAATTCTGATGAATGCACTCAAAGAGTCAATGTAAATACTCTTACTCTGCTGTACCGTCCACACTTCTGAAAGAACTTCCCAGCCTGCAGATGTTTTTTCTCCCTCTCAAAGTAGAGAGCAATGCTCTGGTAATCCTCCACAGTGGCCTCAGAGTCTAATTAAAAAAGAAGAGAAAAGAAACACGATCCCTGTAGCTGACAGAAAACACTTGAGACTAATGCTACTGCTTATATTCAAATTTTACAAACATTGAGTGCAAAAAAGACCCTTATTTTGGTAATTCTTTAATAGTTTATTTACTTTGCAGAGATCAGGTGTGAGTACAGAGCAGACAGTATGAATGTGTTTTCTGTCGAACCATTCTACCCATAGAGAACCACTTGCTTTTTCAAAGTCATTTCCTAAGAGTTTTTGTTTTACTTCCTACCATTCTGATGCACACCACAATATATAAATAAAATATATTTCATTTAAAAAAAATCTATGCAGAGTGCAGCCAATAGTCTGCACATTTCTATGATGCATTTTAAAACATACCTTGAATGTAACGATGGGTTATGGCTTTTACACAGTAAAGATAGAGATTACTGTGTGCATTTTCACAAACACTAACCAATAATGTCTGCATAGACCTCCATCTGTCCGTGCTGCTGTGCCAGCTGGAAGGCTTCTTCTTTGGACTTGGACAGAAGCAGGAAACTAAAGGCCGTGGGGTAGTCTTTCAACTGCAGGAAGAAACTGACAGCAAACCACATTTGGTTTCTGTGAAAATTGGTTTTAAAACGAATACGAAAAATTCAAACATTTATGAAGGAGACTAAGATGACAAAAAGATTTTCCTTCATTCATTCATTCATCCACTCACTACTGCCATGTTCATCGCCACGAAGGATATCTTCTTCTCACTCTTCCTCATATTAAGACAATTAACTATTCACACTCACATTCACACCTATGGTCCAATGTAAATGAACAGTTGACCTGGTCCTGACCAGAATATAGATGAATCTGTCTTTTTATTCCTACCTTGCTACCATCTTGGCTCCACTGATGCTCTGCGTCTCCTTCACGATCTGAACAGCCTCCTCTGGGTTGTTCAGGTGGTCCAGCAGCACACGGATCATGTTCTCCCAGTCTTTGGCGCTCTCAAAGGCCTGGGCTGCATCTTTGTATCTAATTCATACAGCCGAGATTACACCGGCTTTTGTTTTGAAGACCAGACAGCCATTGTTGACGACATATACTAAAGGAACCTACCTGCCGTCTGCTTCGATGGCTTTGGCATACTGTGGGTGGATTTTGGGCGAGGAAACACGTGGGAGGAGCTCTCTCACTTTAGCCCTGAAGAAAGAGGGTTTTTAACTAGAATCACCTGCTGGACAGAAAAAAACCTTTTGTATCAGTGTGTTAGTGTTGGCCTCACCAGTTTTTACAACGAATGTACGCAGACGCAGCCTCATCACAATACTGTCCTTCCTCGTAAAGTTGAGCCGCTTCAGGAAATTGCTGTGAGACAAAAAGATAAACTTTCATATAAATGAAACATGAAACTAAAACACATCAATGTAATTTATTAACAAGTTTCCTTTACAGTATTTTGTCTGCCTCTGTACCTTCATACTCTCTAGTATGGCTCCACATTCCTTCTTGAGGATTCTGCTTGGATGCTGAATAGCTTGTGTGGCTCCTCTCCTGATGTCACCCATCCTGATGGACATCCTGGCTACACCTCCTTGACATGCTTCATCATGCTCCTGGAACTGAAGAGGGAAGGATGGAGGTGAGGGCAATAGGAGGAGTAGAAGAAGTTACACATTTAAAAGTGAATTTAAATTTGCTTCATATTTTTATTTTTTTGTCTCTTACTCTTTACCTTCAATTTTAATTTACAAAATTGACCTTTAACAAAGACTTGTTACTCAAACTAATAACTAAAATCAACCAAGTGGTAAATGACAATATATTTTTTCATAAAAAAAACATTACAAAAAGTAAAACAGTGAAGAGCATAAACCATTAGTCATAGAGTCACAAAAATTCAAACTCACTTCCTCGTTGTGGGTAACGCCTTTTTCATAGTGAGTGAGTGCATTCACATAGTCTCCACTACGGTGAGAGACAGACAGATATATGCAGGGAGAAGGATCAGTTTACTGAAGTGTATCAAGCCTGTGCATTAGCATACCCTTACATAAACTCCAGGTGGACAGCATAGTCTTTGCATATAAAAGGGATCTGATCCTCTGCCAGTCTCTCTGCTAAAGACAGAGCACTGTCCCAGTGCAGCAGGTCCTTCCTCATCTAAAACACACAAACACACACAATCGTTAGGATGGAGTTGTCATCTGAAGAGAGCTTTGACACAAAAATGAGACACACCTCCAGTGCAGCAGACGGGCGGCTAGAGGACAAATAGAGATTCTCTGCAAGGTTGTAGTCACATTTAAACATGGCTAAATGTCCTGCCAGTAAATCCCTGTCTTCTGTGCCCTGCCCAAAGGAAACTGTTAGGACTTAGACAGATGGCCTTGTAGCATGACCACTGTATATAATTAGAAACATGTGGATATGTAATGAGATATATAATGTGATTTGTACCTCTATGCTCTGCAGGGACAGCACCATACCCACATTACCACTGATGCGGTAGACCTGAATGGCCAGTTCAACCTCCATATGGACGAGGCAGGCTTTACCTAACTCTGCCCAGTCTTCATCACTTCCTGTAGATTTACACAGATCCAGAGCTTCATGAAACCTGCAGGGAAACAGGAATAGTCGCGTAGTGTTGATTCACAGTAAAGCATAGAAAATGTATACATATATATAAACACATATAACATATTGCTTCCTAGCACTGTTACATTGTCCTAAGACTATATATTTCTTACAAAACCAGTTTTTATTCAAACTCACCTCTTTAGCATTAGAGCCTGGCTGAGCTGCAGACTGAGCCCTGGTTGTGAATTTGTTGTTGTGCCATTAGAGCGCTTCATGAAGAAGTGTGTGCTTAAAGCAAGTTGGATAATCTTGCCACTTGCTGTCTGACAAATCACATCACCATTGTACAAGAGCAAAGGCTTCTGGGAAAACAAAAGCGGAGTGCTGCCGACCATAACGACTTGAGGACCTGAGGAGAGAGAATATGAGAGTTGCAGCTTTGCTGGGTGTTTTTATTTTTATTACTGTGATAAGATAAAATTGTGAAAAATAAATAAATAAAATCATGTAATTGCTGTTCATTTGTCATGCTGTGCACTCTCCCTACCATATATAGTGGTTTTATGCAGGGCATAAGTGTAGATCTTGTCATTGTCATAAGCTACAAACACTCCTCTGTCAGTGGGCCAGTTGTCCCACAGCACTCCTGTGATGGTGGGGGAGAAGTTAGGGAGCTCAAAGCAGGAGTCCTTCACCTGGATTGGAGATGAACACACACGCGGTCTAGTTTTGAGTTGTGAGGACATCACATAGAAATAATGTATTAGAGCCAGACCCTTATTATAAACTAAATCCTAAACTAAACTATAAATAACACTCTCTCTCCTTGTGGGGAACTGGGAAAAAAAACAAATGGTCTCAACAACAATGCATTTTAGCAAAACGTGTCTACAAGAGAATAGCCATTTACCCCCTTAACTCCCTATACACTAGTTAGATCTGTCTGACATCCTCCACAGAGCTAACAGTTGTAAGTCATAAAGCTACGTTTTTTTTGAAAAAATTGTGTGGCACAAGAAAACTTTCAAGGTTATTTGAGTTCAGAAGTTAGTTGCAAAAAATTTAATTTGTAATTTATGCAACTGAACAAGGTGTAATTCCATATATATGGTGTACAGTCCCACACAGCAGCACTTAGGTCCTGCTGATATAACCCCTGGCTTCAACATGTCTCTTCAGGGAATTGTAGTTTTAAAACTAAACGTGAAACTTGTTCATGTAGAAGACACTGGTTTAGATTGATATGAAACAATAAAAGAACCTTTCAGTGCTCTGTGTTTATAGTCTCCCTCTCTCCCCTGCAGTGTGTTTGTAGCACCACCTACTACTCACAATGATGGCTGCTCTCTGTCAGACCGGGTGGAATAAATCACTGGCCTGCTCTCCTGCCTCTCAGCATTTTTACTATCCTTCTCTAACCATCAGATCCACTACTTGTCTGGCTGAGCTTGGCTGTTCAAACTATATTCTCTGCTATTTCCATCCTGGACTTCAGCTACTGTATCTTCAAGTTCAGTTTTTTGTTAGTGTAAACCTGCTCACATTCGCAGGGCAGAGCAAAAAGCCACTGTTCCTTTCATCGATGAAGACCAGCCATGTGCCGTTCAGGTCAGGGAAGAGTCTCCTCACACCGACACAGTGGCTGTAGCTGCTCACAGGTCCACAGTCCTCCACCAAGACACATTCCACATCACCTGACTGGAAAAAAAATAGAAAATGTATGAGAAGAAAACTAGGAAGTTGATAAAACAGAAGAATAAAAGTCAGCCGTGAGCCTCTGAGGGTCTTACATCAGTGCCGTAGTACAGGAAGTCAGCGGTGAGGGCATGGCAGAGGATGCTGCCTTTTCTTTCATCCTCTGGAAACAGCTTCGTTGACTTCTTCTCCTCAGGGTTTCCATCATCAAACTCAAAAACAGATTATTGGTAAAAATGTAAAACAGACTACAGTGTGTAGTGAGCAGCTCCAGTCTGTGTTAATCTACATACAGATGTACTGCATCTCTGTGCAGGTGACCTGACCTGGAGCTACACTGCTGGCAGTGGATGACTGTGTTAGTGACTAAATGAATAGGGAAACTGCATTGTGAAGCAAATATGCTCGGGCTATCATCACTAATGGTATTTACACTCACCATGTGCAGCTGCACTTTTCCCTCAAACAGCGCTGCTGCATAGTCTGAGTTGAGGCACATGTGAGACACAGTTCCTAAATACTCAAAAGCGCCTAATTTGGAAAAACCTGAGTGAAACAAAATAAAAAAATAACCATGACAGGATTTAGCGAGATATTGAAACGACATAGCGGAAAACTATTATAGATAATCAAACACAAATACCATGTTCTTGTTCAACTAATGCATAAAACCATGCTCTGTTGTTCATCCCCACGGCAATGTGATCTGGTCCTGCTGCTATGAATGAAGGTTCAACATCCACTTCTATAACCACAGGGGATTCCTGGACATACATCATAAAAACATACATGGCAAGGTCCAACATTATGAATTCTACTAACCTTCTTTAAAACATCTGCAACAACAACAGATATTTTTTATTATCTTACGTTGATATATTGGGCCACAAAAATGTAAAAATAACTCACTCCTTCCACCTGGTTGCAGACGGTGACCTCCAGGGAAGAGCTGACATACACCAGCCGTGTACCACAGCTGTCCCCTGGGATAGGAGGTTTGGATAGGAAGACATGGAGTGTCCCTTTCTGTGTCGAGATGGCCAACAACTGTCCATCATCCGTCCAGCTCAGCAGGTCCAGACCTGCAGGAGCAGGAAGCACAAGTAAAATTCACGGGAGTGCTGAAGTCAGACAGATATTTAAATGATTGGCTGTAAAACACTCACCCTCAGTCTCATTTAATCCAATGTCGTTGCTAACATCACTGAGCTCAGAGAGGTCGTGGAATTTCAGGCTGCAATAAGACATTTGTGGATTAATTTTTGTCTTTTTATTTGACAATAAAAATAATGAAAAGTTATGTACCAGTTGTCTCCACAAGAGGCAGCTTTGTTCAGGGCTACTGAAATAGCCATACTCTTCAGGTGGTCTTCATGACAACGGGCCTGGTAGAGCTCTTCTCCGATCTCTCTGATGTCAGTGGAAACAACCACAAAGTAGCCATGGGAGAATCCAATGAGAAGGTATCCATCACCATACCTGGAAGTGACAGAAGAGGAGAACCGATTTTATTAGCCTTCACTCATTCACATTCTTCTGCATTTGTCTATGCTGAGGTGTCGGGCTGTTCTCTTACCAGCTGTATGACACGATGTCTCCATAATGACATTGGAAGGTCAGTTCAATTCGGTTGTCGAGGTCATGGACATTAAAGAGCATCAGTATCTTCTTGTCCACAGACAGACTCAACTAAAGGAGTTAAAGGACATAGTGTACAGCACTAAATTACATAACATCTGTATATAAAAAACATATTGATTAAAGACGTGTCACAGCACTAAATTACACAACATCTGTATATAAAAAAACATATTGAATAAATATGGCAATATTTTAAGAAAGGTTCTCTTATATGTGTATATATCTTACGATTATTGCTGCATTTAATGATACAGCAGTGATAGAGATGGAAAACAAAACCTATATGTAAATATTGTACTTACTATATTGTAGTGTTTGTTAAGAAATACATTTTTACAATTTATTCACTCAAGTAAAAATAATTCAAAAGTACATGCAAAATAGAAATATTTTAGCAATATATTTTGATACATGTATTTTGGAAATATATGTGTATATTTGAGTTTATATTTTGGTCAGTCTTCAAGGTAAATAGTCATTTAATTACATTTTCAAAATGTTCATGTTAAATTATGTGTAATGTTGGATGGTAATATATAGGAATACATATACTGTGTAGTCTGAGGACAACAAGACGACAGCAATGGTTTTTGGGTGGATTACATATACATACAAATACATTTGAATTTAAAGTATAAACACTCACAGTACTGTCTTCCTTTGGAGACCCTTCTGTTGTCTTCATCATTGAAAAACACATGTCAGAAGGTTTCCCACGGAGTGTTGTCTGGGCAATGATAACATTCATTAATTACAGGATATTTGATTTCCCATCAACGTGAAAAGATACTGACTCTGCAATAAATGCCATTAACTGGAATCACAAGTAATCCAACCTGAAGGTCAAGGGGTCATGGTTTAGAAACTGGTAGGCTATAAAAAATGAATAACCATAGTGTAAAGGGCCACAAATGGCCACGGGCCACAGTTTAGAGTCTATATCCTTCACTCCATTCTGTAACAGCAACAGTAAAAAATCCAACACATTTTAAAGGCTTTCATACAAAAGCACATGTTCACTATTACTGTGACCATTGGTTTAGGAGCTCAGACTTCACTACCTGCCTGATGGTGTTTCCGTCCTCGTTGCTGATGCTCACGGTGTTATCATCACTTCCAAGAGCCAATAGATTTTGAGCACTCCAACATCCACAGCTGATCTTTTTGGTGTGTTTGCCCAGTATTGGGATTTTATACAGGGACTGATGATTGTAGATCAGCAGGTTTCCTTTGACTGTTCCGACTGCCAACACTGGGCTGGTCTTTGACCAGAGGATGAAGGACATCTGTTCCCTGTGGCAACAAATGACTGAATTATTAAGACTTCAGTGAATGTGGGATTTTATTTTTTTTCACATCTTTCTCCTTCTATATGCCAACCATACCTCATACCACTGTCTATCTGGAACGTTTCATTATGGAAGGCATTCCAGAATAAAATAAAACTCGACTTTGCAGCTATCGCAGCCAGAATGCCTCCGTCTTTGTCCCAGTCCATTCCCACACAGCGTCTGAAGTTGAAGAGAGAAAGAAGACTGAATGAAAAGACATGGAGTGTGTTCAAACAGAGAGAGGACAATGTTTAACCCCATCTCTGATTAAAACACAACTAAAATTTGTCATGACATTTACCCTGGCAGATCCAGCCTAGTCTTCAACGTTCCATTTTGATCGAAGATTTTCACTGAGTTGTCCTGCCTGGGTTAAACAAACAAGGTGAATTTTAGCTTCTCGTGTTTAAACAAGTGGAAATCAAGCAGCAAAATGTAGTTAAGGTTTCATTAAGTTATATTCTGTTCCACTGCAGTTTACTCACCCTGCTACAGCAATGTATTTTCCAAGAGTTCTCTGCCACTTGTACAGTAGACCAGAGCCAGCCCAGGCTCTGTCAGAGAGACTGAAAATGTTCTGCGAAAAACAACTTTAAAATCAACTTATCATCCAGAGATGAGTTTAACAGACAATTAAAATAGATCATAGATTATTTTTCACAGTCAGCTGTTTTCCAGTTTTTGATGTTTCTAATAGAGCCAGAGACTCAGCACCATTTTGTTAACAAAATCAAGACCCAATTATTTATTATTATTATTATAAACATTTACAATCAAAATTTGATCAATTTTATTTTTTCTTCACAATTTTAGTAGCCTAAGATTTGCACAAACATAAAGGCCTATTTTCAAGTTTCCCAAACCATTTAAACCCTCATTTTATTTTTGGCCCATACCTTCATCTTTATTTACAACATTGGTGATGTTTCACTATAAAACAAAAATTTAAACATTTTTGGGACATTTGTGGCAGTTTGGAATTTTTCCTTGGGTTACCAAAAAGTGAATTTTAACTATTTTCTGTCTTTCATGTTTTCCTTTCTTTTTTAAACAACTTTCTTTAATGTCTGGTAGAATGTAGATCTCTAGGATAATGTGCAAATTGTCAAAACCTAATGACCCGGAACCAGAGTCACACACTTCAGATACGTGTTAACTGACTGATATGATATAAAAGAAATTCATAAAGAATTACAACGGAAACCAAAATAATACTAAAATAGTCAAAACCCCTCTGGTTTCTTGTAGATCCATCCATTGTATATTATTGTGAATTCCCAACAGATCCTGTAGATGGCAGCATTTTACAAACTCAGAAACATCCACAGTTTTCCCTTGTTTTCCCTAGTATTTCATTGTCCTGTCGCCACTGTTGCTGATTTTAGAGACACTTTCAGCTTCTGTGACTTAACAAAAACTGTCTTCATCTGTAATGAATCAAGTCAACGTTGTCCTCTACTGTGTCATATTGACTAAAGGCCAAACAGTGCAGGACGACACAGCGCCCTCTTGTATATTGCTAGAAGGATGACAGCTCATTTTTCCTGTGTAACATTTGGAGGCGCTATGAAATGCCAGCTGCGTGCCACAAATATTCCTCACTGTCCCCTCTGCCATGCTGGAGCAGAATACACCCTGCTGACTCAGACCTCATTAGGATGCACTGAGGAGAGCAGCGATAAGATCTCCCGGCAAAAAAAAATCAGAGCAGTGAGATGAAAAAAAAAAAAAAAAAGATGAAAAATGAATACTGTGCAATGTTTTTGCCAGCAAGACAACAAAAACCCCAAGCGTCCAGGGCGGCTGAATGTTTTTTTAATCTATGGCTCCTTTTTTAAAATGTACCATTACAGTCCCAGATGATCAAAATGAATCTATTGTGTGGTGTTATCTTATAGAACTGCAATAAATCAAAGTGGTGATTCGCTTCACAAAGACAATTTTACCAGCACAAGGTAAACTGTGATAAAAATATTAATTTCTTCTGGATCTTTGTATTCTAACCAGGGACTGTGAAGGCAACGTGCAGGAGCTGCAGCAATCCCACTGGACTTTAGGGAACCAGCTGAGGTCCAGAACTTAAAAAAAACAAACAAACAAACAAACAAAAAACCCACAGGATCTCAATATTTGTTTTACAGGATTGGTAAAATTCAGTATCATCCAATGAACCAAAAACAACAAATGCTTCACATTTTAATTGAACCTTTGTCAAATGAGTAAATAAGATTCACATTAAACCAATAAGCTCTTGTTACTGTACACAGAAAGTGATTCATATTGTGTCTGTTCAGCTGCAGAGAGAAGGAAACCACAGGAAGAAGTGAAGAAAGAACGCTAACAAGAAGAAGAAACACACACACACACACACACACACATACACAGTCTATCAGATTCAAAACATAAATAAATGGAGATTTAATGTTTTATTAGCTGCTCCAGTTTTCACCCAAGATCTGAAAACAAGCAGATGCTAAACTGACAATAGGCCTTAATGATTGTTGTTTGATTGATGGGCCAGTTTTGACAAATAAACACTGAGAATTAGGTTTTTTTTTTTGCTGAAAGGCTCAAGTTAAGAGAATTAGGTGTTTTTTTTTGCTGAAAGGCTCAAGTTAAGTAACAATACAGAAAGTAAAAATAGAGAACCATTTTTTAAAATGTTAAATGTTTTTTCCCTTCCTTTTGTATAACTTCTAAATAAATAAACTATTTTGGTACAGTTTAACAAAATAGAGGGGAGAAGGGGGGAGTGTGGAGTTAGACAAGGTCACTGTCGTTATTTTTTAGCTCCGCCAGCAGCCACTTGTAAGAGCTGGTTATGATTTAAAGCTTCCTCTGCAATAAATATCAGAGGGAATGGGTTGGCTACTGGCTGCTGTCTCACACTTGAACCTGCTGCAGTGTTTCAGACCATTGATTCCAGGTTGGATCGTCTACACTCCAAAGATTTATCAGGAGGCACAACCTCCAGCTCTGCAGAGCATGTGAAACCTTAAGTCCTGGCAAACTTCTTCTTCATAGAGAATAATAATAATAATAATAATAATAATTTGAACTTTATTGATCCATTGTGTGTTCTGTAGCTGCAAAAGGCTGACCCTTGCAATATAAATATAGAAATATAAATTCACAGTATGCAAAATTTACAGTGAAGCTAATGAATGCAAAATGTGTGAGAAAAAAATCTTCAACCTTAAACGAGAGCTACTGCTGTTTGTGTAGAGGAAAGAAAAATAACAAATGTTTTATTCACATATTTACATTTTAATGTATAAAAAAAACATTGATGGCATTTTACAGGCGCTTGTACATACATTATTTATAAAGAGGAAAAGGCTGTGAATTGTTCTGGTGCAAAAGAAAAGAAAAAAAGATGAGCAGCGCCACCAATCTTCAACCTTCATTTCACTACACATCGTTTATCTCTGTATTCACTGCACTGAAGAAACGACAACACTGCAAATGCTGCACCACACAATATACAGCATAGGTCGATGAGATCTACTTATAAACTTTACACCAGCTTGAGTACACAGTATAGGCAAATATGACTTGGAATGTCTTACTGTGGAGGTCCCGCAACTTCTTAGTACTTCTGCTCAGACTTAAGGAGGGATTATAATCTGAATAAACAGCAGGCAAGACTGAAGGTGAAGTGATGGAAATGTAGCAGTGCATTAGGGTTTAAAAAAATTCAGCTAAGCTGCTGGGGAATTGGAGGCTGCCCATTTCTGCTTTTTAGATGTCATGCAGGCAATATGTGTGGCTTTTCAATCTTCACTTACTCCTGGGGCTTTTGGCTTTCAGCTGTGTGTGTATACGTGTGTGTGCAAAGTGCATTCTGGGGGCTACGATAGCTCTAAATCTGTCAGCTCAGACAGGATGCTTTGCCTCTCAGTGTCTACAGTTTGTTTTCTGTACAGCAGACAGACAGACACACAGAAACACAATTACATGAACAGCACAAGCCCAGAGTCTGAATCTTTGTATTCCGCACACTTCTGGTTGGAACATGTACTTTAACAGGCCCATAAACATGAACACATGGGATTGTTGCCCATTTCTCATTTCTGCTCCCGTCCTCGGCTCAGTTTGCAGCCAGCTCTAATCTAATAAGGCTTTGAGCTCAACACAAACAAAACATCTGCACCCAGAGTTATTAGATTCAGGCTGTCATTACATGGTGTGTTGTTCATTATGTCTGGGGGTATCTAATTCTGCTGTAGACCAGTGTAAGAGACAAAATGGGAGAACTGGGATGAAGAGAAAGCAAAGTGGAATTTAAAAGGGAGACGGGGGAGGAACGAGATTCTCATCTGAGACAACAATATACTCCTTTCACGCACAGCGGGAAACAGTGACGGTGGAGAGAAGGTAGGTAGCTGACAAACAGAAAAGTGATCCCGTAAAAAATTGGATCTGTAAACGGCTGACTCTGATCCCTGCTGGAAGGAAAACACTATTTCCCATAAGGATTTAAGAGTCACAGTAGTGATTATTATCATTATTACTCAAGAACAGGGCTGCACAAAGACCCCAGACAGACTTGAAGAGCGAGGAAAGAAATCAAACGAGAAGAAAAATAATGTAATTGTCTTTAAAGGGAGCAAAGGGAAAGGAAATTAAATGAATGGAAAAAAGATGAAAGGAGACAAAGGGAATAAAAAAGGAGAGGAAACAAAATGAAAATAGGGGGGAAAGCAACAATAAGTAATGGCTCATTACATTTAGAGACAACTGTGCAATAATTTAGGTTAGTCTACATCGATAGTAATTACTTAAAGTAAGGAAATAGGAAAGGAGAAGAAAGTAATAAATAGGAAAACAAAAAATAAGAAATGATAGACAAGGAATGGAAAAGAGAGTCAACAAAAAGGAAAAGAAATATGGAAAAAGCAACAATTATTAATGGCTTACTACATACTGATGAAAAATGACAGTCACCAGGTTCAGGAAACCACGACCACTGCCACGTGTAAGGACCAAAAACAAAAACTGCTCCTCAGTAAGAGTGACATTTTAGCCCTTAAGTGGATGATGGTTGGTGATTCTAACCTGACAGATACAGACACCGTCAGTCAGGCCTGAACTGAGTCAGTACTGAACTGATCTGCCTGCAGTCCATACATGAAGAATCACTGACTGACTGGACAGAAGGGAGTAACTTCAACTGTAAAACTCCTTATTTTAAGTGTATTGTAGGTAAAAATTAGTTTAAAAAAAAAAAAGAAAGAAAAAAAGATATATATTATATATATATATATATATTTAAAGTGTAGCAGCATTTCTGAAAAGTTTTGTTTAAAAATTGCTCAGCACAATTTTCACATTTCAGATGAGATGGTTATTCAAGTGCAGCTCATGAAAAACAAAACATCAGCTGATGCATCATGGAAGACACACAGGCCGGAACATGGTGGACGATGATACGATGCCTGTTAGTAGAACGTATACAGTGGAGGCTCAGCCTTGAGAACGCTGCAGCTGTTTACGCTGTTGTGCTGATTATGTCAAAACTCTTTCATCTTTCTGTCCGCGAGAAAGACAGTAGGAAAAAAAGACATCTTGCCAAGTGCAGCATAAAAATAATAGGGAATGTGTTAAAATAGCATCAGTACACACTATCTGAGATTACTGGGAAAACGCGGAGCATAAAATGATGAGACATCTCAAGCGTCTTTACAATCTGTGTCTCACTCACCTCTCTGTCAGCAGAAATAGAAGCTGTCGTTTTTGTGCGCATATGTGTGTGTGTGTGGATGCGTGTGTCCCACCTTGTCCACAGGAAATAAATATCAGGGAGAGAAAATTCACTGTAAGACAGCTGTGCTGTCACTCACACACTGCTGAGTCCTCTTTACTGTCTGCATGGGCAGCAGTTTACCGCTGCTGGAGGTTATCAGAGAGAATGTCCGTTGAATGGCAGAGAAATAAAAACAGGACATGTGACTTGGAGTCACATGAAACATGGAGTCTTTTAATTTTTTTTTGTCTTCTGCTGCAGATCAATCTATCTTTTGGTTTTATAGGATTATGTTGGTAGTGGCGAAATGTAAGGTTTCCTTAGCAGCACAGAGAAAAGCCCAAGAAAAACGTCTGAAGTCAAAGTTTTCACAGTCTGACGGAGACGACACACGCTCCTGCTCTGCCCAGACACAGAGCTGCGACCTGTTAGGCAAACAAAGAATAAAATTTGTTTAAAAAAAAAAAAAGATATTAACAACTGAATCTACTTTAATCCTGGCTTGTGGAGTTCACGTCATGTGAGTTTTTTTAACAATGTGCTAGAAAAGTCCAATAGAATGATACCTTTGGCCAGCTTTCCTAATCACAGAATCTCCACATTAGTAATATATATATAGTATATATTAATAATGACAATGGTTTTTTTTACACCTGATTCTCCATCCATATGTGGTGATTCTATTAATATACTGTAATATACTCATTATATTAAGTGTTAGCACTATATTTTTTCACCAATTAAATTAATCTTCGAGTTTTTCTGGACAGACACAAGGCGGACTGGACATTCAAATAAAAACAGATATTTTCTCTTTTAATCCACACAACTTTGGAATCCAATCACGGGCCCTATTGGATCTTTCCTGTGTCAGACTGACCCACGGGCCACCAGTTGATGATCACTGTTGTACAGAATATCCTCTTTGACATTTTACAATATGAATTTTGAACTCATCACTGAAACATGGATAACACAAGGTAGAGTATTACTGTATAACTGTTGCAAATATAAAGAGGAGCAACAGGACCAATCAAAGAGTGGGAACAAATGTCACCTAAAAAATCCAATAGTTTTTCAAGGTCTGTGACTAATGTGTGACTGAGATTTGTAAGACACCATCATTGCACTTCTCTAGGTTTATTCTATTTCCTGTTTGCTGCTCTCACTTAGATTTAGTTGTGGTCTGACATTTAATTTAGAGCAGATTGACCAATTCAGGCTCAAGAGAAAAGGAAGCAAAATAAACAAAGGAAGTGATGCTGCTTATAAGTAAAACAAACGACACACTTGTTATTTCAGAGTTTAACAGTAACCAAAGGACACATTTAATGCTCACAGTCACTTCTTTTACATGCACAATAAAGCTGAGCTACTGTTAACGCTCAACTGGGCTGTTAAATTTGGACTACTGTCCTTGTCCTTGCACAAGAAGGGAGGTGAATTATTTATTCACTAAAGTGTTTCCAACTTCACCAGCACGGTAGGCACTGACTCCACCTAGTCGAGGTAACGCGGCCCAGAGGCTAGCTGTTAGAAGCTACATTTTTGTCTTGTGACCCTATTTTGACATCACAAATTTTTGACATGAAAAGTGAAAGAATTTAGGGTTATGTGTGGTGTTTTTATCATAATCTTAAAAGAATAAAAATTCGAAAAAAAATATTTTTATCAGTATTTATTTTTATCAATTACTATTGATAAAAATATCAATTTGAATTCTAGGCGAGTGAGCTAACATGTGGTTCAGACCGACAACTACATCTCTGCTAAATCTGAAGCAAAAGCAGAGTTACATGCAATGCAGTATGTTGTCCCTCCTGACTTTGACTACTTTTTTTGTAGTGAGTTGCATGGAATATTTCAAGGTTTTTTTTGTGTTTTCAGTGAAACCTGATGGGGTTTGGAGGGAGTCAATGTTGGGACTAATGTTTCCTCGCTACAATCAACAATTTACAGAGATGAATTGATAAAACAATTTTATCATCTGGCTTGAGTTTTATCTACTATTTTTTTTGGTTTTGCTCTGAGGTTTTGTTAGTAGCTGAATGTTGTTTTCTTTCTGATGCCTCAGTTCTCCCTCATATCCTAAAATAAAAGGGTTGACTGTGTTCTGTAACTACATAGAGCCTCTTGTTCTCGGCAGGGTCTGTTTTTCTAAAAATGGAAAGATTTCCTGTGACTTTGGTCGGATCTTCAGAGGACAAATGCTACACCACAGTTACACACTTGGCACTTTGGGAACCCCTGTATTACAGCACATCAGTGTGTGTCTTACCTGTGTCCACTCGTTGGTCAGAGGATCATAAGCTTCTACAGTGTTGAGGTAAACCTGACCATCGTAACCGCCCACTGCGTAGAGACGGTCGCCTAGGAGACACACACCGACTGCATCCCTGCTGATGCTCATGGGAGCGACTGCCGTCCACACGTCTGTCTGAGGGTCGTACCTGTACACACAAGCACACACTGAGTTAGGTTCACACTATAAAATTAAACACCATGAGGTTTGGCACAATGTTGTCATTTTCTTTATATCTAGTGCCTTTTAATCCTGTTTGACATCTGGAGGTAGATGTTGTGACAATCTACCTTGTTTCTGATTAATATTAAGAACACAAGGTTGCAACATTTGTCTCCACAAAAAACTGTTAAATGACAGAACTATTTCTTACTTTTTATAAAATAAAAATTAGGATTTTGACAGACCAACTGATATGATATACCAATCTTTCAGTCTCAGCATATACTGATTGTTTTTGACCAGTTAACACTTTAAAGAAGCTGTAAGTTTAATACTATACGTGCCCTAGAACTGCTTTACAAATCAGCCATCATGTTTTCAGCAGTTATTTATTTATTATTTATATCATGCATTTAGAAGAGACTTTTCCCACATTTACATCATGCATTTAGAAGAGACTTTTCCCAAAGCCACTTATATTATAATGGAGTACTAGGAATATGGTTCTACTGGGGCTTGAACACAGGTTCTTCTGCATGTAAGGCAGACATTATAACCGCTACACTATGAAACCATTGTACTTTTGTAAAGTTAATAAAATCAGACTCACCTTTCCACACAGTCACTTAACCGAGATGAGAGGCTGGAGGCTGGGGGGGAGGCCGGGGCGTCGTGCCCTCCGATGGCGTACAAGAAGCCATGCCACGTGGCCACACCAACACCCCCGCGACGTTTAGCCATAGGAGCACAACCAGTCCATCTGTAAATGGAGGTGGTGACGATCAAGAACGTTTCACAGATGTTTTTTTGCCAGAGCATAATGATTGAAATCTGCAGGTAAATAAAACAAACCCCTGGTCGCTGACCTGTTAGTGTGGGGGTCGAAACACTCCACTGAACGCAGGCATGATGAACCATCTCTACCACCTACTGCATACAACCTGAGAACAGAAGATAAAAGATGTTGCACTCCGTGTGGACACACAAACACACGTCTACTGGTAGAAACCTGTTGTTATTGAGTGACACGAGGTGTGAGTGTGTGCGCTCATCCATTACAATGGAGCTAAGAAGGTGAAAAAAAAAAGCAATACATCAGAGGCAGTCAAGCAAGTAACGAGCTCTATCAATCAAAGAACCCGGAGAAATGCACACACACACGTGCTGTGAAAATGTGTGTCCACATTCTGTACACATACAACCATGGGCTACAGATTAATTAACAACTGCAGATGACATACACATGGCCTTTCTGAAGAGTCACGTTATTGTCATTTTGAGAAATGGTCATGTTTTCAAGCGCAAAGGTCAGGCTGACAGAGAGTCTGTCTACCTTGTACTGGATGATGCCATCTGTCAAGGAGAAAATTTACGCCCTGACTAGATGCTGTAAAACTGCATATTGGAATATGAATGTGACAATAAACCACTCAGCAGTGTGGACTCTGGTGATAAATATGGTACTTTTCTGATATGTTTTATAATAAATGAGATTTTTTTGCATAACTTGTGGAGCCCCCCACCCCCAATAAATGTTCTGCATCGGGGCCACTTTTTACACTGTGTCACTACGTCCAAAGTTGCTTGCCACTAACATTAACATTCTAGAGTGAATGAGTACAGTTACAGGACAATGTAGTTTGACAAATAGCTCCCCAAAAATGTCCTGCAGTGCCCCCGTTAGGTACAAATGATTATTGTTGAGCTTGCATTCATGCAGCTACAACACCAAAGAGTGCTAAGGTCAAAAGTCAGTGTTAGATTTATGTGCTCACTTACTTGCCATTAAGCACAGCTACGCCCACAGTGCTTCTGGGTGTGGCCATACTGGCTACAAAGCTCCACTGTCGAGCTTGAGGGTCCCACCTGGAAGAAATGTGTGAAAGAACTGTGTGTGAGTGAATTCATAATTTTCTTCTTCTGATCTCAAGTTCAGAACTTGACATTGTTTTGTTATTTTCCGATCAATCCAATAAGAGGTGTAACTATCATTCATTCCCATGTATTTCCTTATCCTAATCCCTACATTAATGAAAACAGATGTTGCTCCTTTTCATGCAGTATTTTGCCGTGTCATCTTTTATTGCTCTGAAATCTCTCGTTACCGTTCCACTGTGCTGAGGTAGCTCCAGCCGTCATGTCCTCCAACCGAGTACATGGGTCCCTCCAGGACGGCTACACCTGCACAACACAATCATGTGGGCGTGAGAACTTCATGCTGGAGCAACTGAAACCACATCAGCTTGAATGCATGTAAGGTGACGACGGGTGTATGATTTTACTGAATTCAGCCACAAACCAGACTCAAGAGACTTCATTATTTGGCTGAACATCTGTATTGGCAGATGTTTTGGTTCCCACACCCCTCCACGTAAATTTGAAGCAGACATAAAAACAGGGTTGAAAAGTGGAGTTGCATGTGGTCATGAGACGAAGAAGTTAAATTTATTTCGCTGGATTTGACACATGTTGCAAAACACTATATCCATGTGAGTGCAGATATATTCTCCATAGTTGAACTAATTAGTGCCAGAACACTTAACACTGCAGTGCTCCTATAGGGCATTTTTTTAAAAAAAGATTTAAAGGTCAAATAAAAAAAGATTTAAAGGTCGTGCACATACAGTAGGGATAGTAAATAGATAAGCCAATAAACATGCAGGCACTGAACATACACACCTAGAGTACACAGATATTTAGGACATGGAGAGAAATCTTTAGGCAGAATATTAAGAGTTGAACTTATTTATACACTCAGCTTCTAACCCCCCCATGTTTGAGCTTGGCCTGAACAAACGTAAAAGTCAATATATAAATGTTTTCATTTGAAACCTGATATATTAATGTGTCAGGTGCAGTACCTCTGTAAAACTACCCCAGAATATTTATAGTATTTGATGTAGAATCAATCACTTACAGTCAATGTAAGTGATTAACATAATTTGAATTAATTATCGCCTGATGTAAAACCTGAATGTTCTACATGTGCGTTCCAACCAGCTGCTTACCAAGGCCATGTCTGTGTGTGGACATGGGAGGCATGACACTCCAGGTTTTACTCTGGGGGTTGTAACACTCCACAGTGTTCAGGGTCTTCAGTCCGTCTCGTCCCCCCACCACATAGAGCCGTCCGTCAAGAACCGCAACACCAAACTGTAGCCTCCGCCCGCTCATGGTGGCGACCTGCTTCCACGTGTCTTGGCGCAGACAGTACTGCTCGATGCTGGTAGCACCTGTGGACCACAAGAGTAAATCACAGGTCATGTTGCTTAGAATTAGGAAATGCTGATAAAACTATGTGCTCGTTGTGGTAAAAATCACACATGATCTGGATTAGAATGCATTCAGACCTTTCGTGGCGTCCATGCCACCCACAGCGAACATAGCGCCCACGGTAGCCTTACGAGGACGAGTGCGAGGACTCTGTAGCAGGGGCCTATGCTGGGGGAGGAGATGATACTTCATTCCCTCCATCAGAAGGCGCTGACACTCCACACTGTCCCGCAGCAGAGGGTTGGACTCCAGGTCTGCTAGGAACTACAAACAAACACATGAAGAAGACTTGTGACAAACCACTGTGTGTGACGTGTCGTCTGAAAGTCGAAAGATAGAAATGTGTTTGTTCATTGACTGAGAGATTAGCTTAGACTAACAGCCACTAATGTTGTACAAACACTAACACACACAGAAAGACAAAGAGTAGAAACAACAATCACTCCGTGGTCCATTATAGTCACACATATATACATATACTGTACATACATATTCCCTATTCACTAACAACAACAAACAATTTTAAATGCAAATCTTTAGCCTATGTACTAAACTTAAATCACAACCTCCTGACTTGAATTTAAACCTTCTTCTAGCCTCTTTACACTGTTAGGACTTGTGCAAAGGTCCGTGCAAACGGGGGAGTTGGACTTCTTACTCATTCAGTCCACGTCCTCCACAGACAAGAGGAAAATAAGATGCATTCTCAGTCAGTAAAAGCCATCAGATGCTTTATAACTTACATCCATTTGAAAGCCAGTTTGTGTTTGCCTGTTTGTGGGCTGAATGTAAATCAGTCATCTATGTTAGATGTGAAGCAGCCGAGCTTCCAGAGAAGCCAGAATTTATGGTAATATTTTTTAGTTTAAACCCTATTTGCATATCTGCATCTGGGAAAACATTCAGAAATGGCTTCAGTGGAGGGGCAGTCATTTTTAAAAAACAAAAACAAAGGATAGATGAAACAAAATGTTAAGCTTTTTTCTTGGGGTCTTATTTTCTCTGAGCTGTTTCATATAATCCCTATTACCACAGAAGGAGAAAAATTGGGCCCCAATACTATAACTCGGCCACGTAATGTAAAATCAATTTTCCCAGTCTGATTTGCAGAGCGTAAAGTAAGCGCGTTAAATGGATAAGCAGCTTACACGCCAGGCTGAACTCTATATTTGCCTAGTGTACAATGAGAGGGGCAAATGTGGTTGCACAGATTATCCTTTTATTTTTATATTGCTGTGATTAAGGCATAGAGATCGTGTTGGTGTCTGCTTGATTCCCTTTTTACCGGCGGAGATTAAATGCAGACTAGAGAAGGAGACTGAATTGTGTGAGGCTCTAAATTTCTTCCTTCAGAGTAGACAAATAATGACACCTCTTCTGTTTTATCTCACACTTCACACAGGAGACCAGCCTTGTAACCAACACTCATTCTAAAAGGACATAAAGTCCAGACTGGCTTCACTTTTATTTCCTTTACAAGACACAGCTTTACAAGCACCTGCCCTGTATATCTTAAAATATTCTACCCTTAAAGGAATGTGCACACGCACACTCACACACACGCAAATACATACTTTCACACCATTATACTACATCGGATATTGCATATTATACTCTCGTTTACATCTAGATCTTTTTAAATCCACAGTAGCCATAGACTCAGGCCTGAAGACTGCACGTGTCCTCATTTTTCCTTCCATATTGTTGAGGGTGTTGATGAATACTGAGTATCTCACCATGAGTGGAAAATATGACACAATTACACATTCATGGTCCTCAGAGGCTACAGCTTAGACAACTCCGTACGGGCTCAGTCCTGGCTGTGAAACAGGTAACATAATGAGCACATTATACACACAACTGTTATAGTGATATATCTAAAGTAATCTCCCAGAATAATCAGATGAATAACACAACATGATTATCTCAACAGAGAACAACACAAGAATTACGTTGCATTACCTAGTTATCATAATTAAAAACACTGTCTACAACAATTGTAGCTCAGCTGCATCTGCTACGTGTCCTTTTTGTTGTCTCCAACTCCCCCTCCGTTCTCCTTCTCTAATTTACCTGTATTGATTCCCACATTCTTCTTTTTCTTCCTCTAAACCTGCTAAGGCAGATGGCAGCTCACTTAAGTCACATTACGCCCCTGCCTGTTTTTCCTGGATTTTTTTTTTTATTTAAAGCCATCTGCTCGTGGGGTCTGATGGATTATTTTTATATACAGTTGTGCAGAAAAAAAAAGACTTAAGCGATGAATACATTTACTATATATACACTTTTCAACAACAGACAACTGAGATCCAGCGAAATGAGAAGGAAGCAGAAAAATAGACAAATAACACACTAAAGGATTTTTTTTAAAACTGCAACACTTACACCCTTTTTATTCTACTTGTGTTCTTCTTCTATGAGATTTTTTCCATGCACTCACTACTTTCCATCATTTCCAATTCCTTTGACACAGTTAAGGAAGTTGATTCCCCTGTGTACACCACCTTAACACCATATTCACAACATTTAAACTGCACAACTAGTACATCATGGGGAACATCTGTGGGGCCGAGGCTCGAGGCTACTGGAATAGTAACACTGACAAAATACTGCGGCCCGAGAGGAAAGAACATTCTCACCGAGGGAACAGTTCTCTCTGTTGACAAACTGCATATTTATGGAAAACTTTTCAGTGACCACTGACACAAGCCTCTGGGTTTTTTAGACATCCACAGCTCCCTCTGTCTGTCCAGGACAAGTATGTACTGTGGCATGTACTCTGTGTTTCTATCTTGTACACAGTCTCGTGCACCGAACACATTAAAATCTATCTACGGCATGTGATGTCGTGATGATGGCGAGTTTTGGAATAAATCTGATAATTTGGCATCCATCTGATGAGCAATCACACAGTGACCTAAATAGAGAGCTAACTATTCAGTTGATGAATATTGATTTCTGTTTATGTGAGCTGTAGAAGTTGATTTAGTGGGTTTTCGTGGCTCTTGAGGTTCCCCAATGTTCATTCATGTGTCAGTCAGGCACAGTGTTGCTTGTGGCAATGCACCACAGAGAGTTGGATCCACACTCAGCCCCGTTCTGGCTCTTTTGTTGTCATTACACTGCTTCACTGCCAAATGTCTCCTCAGCCACATGTTACAGACGATTTCAGCTGACCAGGGCAGATAGAAATATTGAAATTGTACACAAATGGTAGATTGATTCAAATAAAAATAAAAAAATAAAAAAATTGTATTTTTAAGTATAAAAGGTCTTTATGAGTAAATGTATAGTTAATGTTTTTTATGTAGGGAGATCATTTTAGCATAATCATTTGAATGGTAGCTCCCAAGCCAAAAAATGTTAAAGACATTTTATGCACTTCCTTTATAGTTAGTGAGGAAAATAACTGATTTTGGAGGATAAGACAACTCTAGATTACACATTTATCCACGTTATGATTTAAAATGTGCATGTGTGTGTGTCAGAACTCCTTGTCTGAGGCAGTAACTGAGATGCAGCCCAGCATATGAACATCTCTGTCTCACATTAACAGTCAGGGGACTATACTGCAGTTTTGAAGTAAAAAGAGAGATTGGATGAAGAAGAGTGTGTAGAAAGGTGCTCATACACTCTCAGATACACACACACAAACACACCTGACAGAGTAATGGCTGTGATCTACAGTTGGCGTAATGACTGCAACTCCCTTAATTGCCTAAAGAGCATACCCAGACGGGGTGAGAGACAGATTGGAGCCAGAAAAAGGCAGAGAAGAAGGAAAGAGGAGACAAACGTGTCAACAGAAAACATCCAGTAGATCACTGTGAGAAAAAAAAACTGACATAAAGTCTTGCCTTGTACTTCACTTCCAAAAGACACAAACAGTGAAGCAGCTTTGACAAAGATCCAGCAGTAGACAGTTTTTTTTCGGGCTCAGACAGACTTCCTCAGTCTGGCTGACTATCAAAACAACTCTGATTATTTTAGTACTAAAATGTTTCTTGACAGTATCAGGAAAACTTGGACTTTAAAAATATGTCTAGATGGAAATTTTGAAATAAAAATACATTAAAGTGACAAGCCTAGGTTATTCTGTCTGGATTGTAAATAGTCTTAGAATTTAGTAAGTTTTAAAATATATTAAAATCCCATCAGAAAGCAGAAATAGGATTTATTTAAAGATTTATAACTTCCCTCCAACCTTTGATTTTGTTAAGATAGCATCCTTTGAGTAACACTACTGCCCCCTAGGGGGTCTATTTTCCACTAGTAAATATAAACATCCCCAAATACCTAGAGAATTTGCCTAAAAAGGGAAAACAAAAACAGGCAGACAGCTGCCTGACTATGCTGGCATAAATCGTACCACCTTACACTAACATACACACACGAGTGGTTCAATAAAATGGCAAAAATCACATTGTATTGAACTTGACTTGCTGAAAGTAATACCGCTTTTTGTAAGTGACAATTTGGGTTTAAGTGTGGTTTAAGTGTGAACAGCTGTAACCTGTGGCTGTAGCAGTGGCAGTCTGACATGCGCCAGAAGCAGAGGTAGGTGGCGCTGCCGAGTTACGGTGTCGTGACGAACCCACGTGAGTAAAGACGTCACCACCGTTTCCTCGTCTGGCACGTTAATGTCTTCAGAAGTGAGCAGCCTCTCCATCTCCTCCACCGGGAGCAGTAAGAACTCCTGGCCTCCCACGACTTCTAAAAAGTGATCCTGGGGAAAAGACAGAGAACAGTGGATGAAGTCATTGCAACACTTGGGAAGAGATTCTTTTAGAACTATAGTTCCACAGAGAAAGAGACTGTCCAAGACAATGAAAAAAAGAAGAAGAGCTATTAGGTGGATGTGGATCAAGAGCTGGGCACAGTTTAGAAAGAATGTTGATCTGTGGGAAAAGCTGCAAATAAAAAGGAGAGTGTTTAAATCTAAGACATAATTTGAATTTCTTTACCTCTCGCTACTGTTTCAGTCATTTCTAAACTTATACAATTTTTTTATTTATTAAAATTGAAAAAAGTTGGGTTTTATGGGGCACTGACAGCCAAATGCAGATTTTATTTATAGATTTTTTTTAACCCATTAAGTTGAAATAAAACAACCCTAGCACTGACAAAGCTAAACATATCAAATAAGCTAAATGAAAACTGCACAAGGAAAAATAAAGAAGAGAAACAGGAAAAAATGATCAAGTAGAAGAACAAGCTATTTTACTGTCACCATAGCAACCCTTTACTAAAAACAGCCATTGGCAGCAGTGACTTTCAGTGGTATGTTTAGAATAAGGCAGCAGCTAAGCAAAGTCAATGAGACAAATCAAGTGGGAAATCCCGACAGTGTCTTTAATCTAAATCATTAGGTCACGTGTAAGAGAGAAGGAGATGTACCCACCATGGTGTAGGTGTGAGCTGCCCTCTGCAGGTCATGACATCCCTGAGCGTCAGCGTAGGATCTGATTCCTAGACAGTTGGAGGGGTGGAGCTGCTTCATGAGGAAAGAGCAGCAGGCTTGCACCACAGACGACAACTGCAGCAGACAGGAGGCTGACAGCAGCGATTCAATGGTGTCCTCCCTCAACTCCAGACGTCCTAGACCAGAGTGAGATAGAGATAGAGAGCAGGACGGAGATGACAAAAAAAAAAGAAACACAGGGTTTAATTACACTGGCCGAAGAATGACATGGTCAGGAGCAGTGTTTCCCAACATTTCCTGAGCCACGGCACATATTTGTCATAAAATATAATGACGTTTTATTTTCAATTCACTTACAATTTAGTTTCTCAGAGCCTGTTTAGTTGAACTCAACACAACACAGGAATTGAAATCTGCATACTGAGAAATGTCTACGTGTCCAGGTCTGGTATTTCAGTATGTGTTACTGTGATAATACAAGGACACCCTTTCTTTTTCAGATGTGTGCTATTGAACTGCTTGAGTTTCTTGAAGAAGTTTCAGCAATATATGATCCAAGTCTTTTGAACAGAAGAAGCTTCTGGATTCTTTTGAAGACTGAAGTTTAACATTTTTTTTTCATCTAAATCTAAGGTTCGAAGATCAGAAGTAAAACATCTTCAAGGAACCCGAGGAGCCCAGGTGCCTATTTCTAAATCTCTGAGTTTCAAAAAAGACGTGGATGACAGAATTGCAAATACCAATGTGTGTACCTGTGTATGCATATTGCACAAGGACCCACAATGCATCAGGGTCTACTCCTTCCATCTTCACCTCATCCTGCTTGGCCTCTCGTACATCATTGGTGAACATGGCTGCAAAGTAGTCTGACACAGATGAGAGGACCAGTCTGTGAGGGGAGAGAGCGACGGGCATTAGTCAGAGAGAGCAGACAGCATTAATGGAAGATAAGGGTTCTCTGACCTTGCTGACAGGACAACTCAGATTTAACAGACAGCAGACATAGGGAAGACAGCCGGCTGATAACACAGCCTAACAGAGCACAGAACCGTATTCTTCAAACATCATCCTGTTCCTCTGATTTTCCCTATATTTAACAAACATTAAAGTCTGCATGATGCAGATTTAGAAATAATAACTGCATCGTGACAAATGTGTTGCGGGCTTAAAAGTACCCCACAGCCGTCTTGTTAAAAGTAAATAGTTACGAGAAAAAAAAAACGAGAATGTCGTTATTATCTGAATAAGCAATTGAAAAGAGAAGACATCTTCACACAACAAAGACTTGTAGCCATAAGGATCTTATTTTACCTATTTGACACACTTTTAGGGGGATGATGTTGTAAAATTGTACAGTCAGTGTTGAACTACAGCTCCACTGGCACAAAAGGCACAGTCCAACTGGACACTCCATAGTATTAAATCTTTTTTCTCTATATGTTCCTGTGAAAGACTGACAAACTCTCTACGGTGTACCGTAACCTAAAGAGGAAAAGAAACTATAGAATAATATCTATCTATTCTCAATTGCTTCTCATTGTATCTTGACATTGTATTTCTTGGTAAACACATGATGTGTGTATGTGTATGTACTGTATATAGACTATTATAAAATCCTAGCTTTGCTTATTATTATTATTATTATTATTACTGAACCTTTCAGTTGTAGTACTGCCCTCACATGCAGTACTACATGTAAGATATTCACTCAGAAACACCTGGAACCTTGGAACACCTGGAAAAGAATGGGAGGAATAAAAAAGAAAATTCAGGTGAAGGGCACGAATATGGATCAATAAAATAGTCTTCCAGTCTTCCATCCATAATAACTGAGAGGACCATTTACTGCTGTTAATCTACTTATGGAGTCTATAGGTCACTGTCTCGTCTTGAAGAGAAATCCCCTTTTCCAATGTGGACATTTTTGGTCATTTACTTATGGCTTTGCTTGCCGTCTTCAAATATAACATCTTTTGTAACATAATTCCGCACAAAGTTCAACATAAACTGTATTAAGACAGAGCCTCAGCAAAAGTAAGCGTTGACATCCATAAAAGATGAAATGTCAGAGCATCCAGTCCAGCAGGAGATCATTCAATTTGCATGAGTGGGTCACAGTGGTGACGCTCAAAGAAACGGGAAAAGAATGTGATTGATGTTGGGTCAATGAAGGAATCTAGAAGGTAGTCGTCTGGGCCTGTGTGAGATGAAGGCCAATGCAAAGGACAGCAGTGTGTTGTCATCAGGTCATTTATGTGATTCCATCTATGAGGCTTTCCTGTCATCACAACAGACACACACATCAATTTATGAAAAATGTACAATTTTTGGTCTTGTTTTTCTATGGTTGATGCATTTTATTCTTAATGAAGGACCATGTGAGAATCTGTACGGATCCTTTTTTTTGAACGTATGGGTTATTTTTCCCCGAATGCCATTTGTTGACTAAAAAGCCAACATGTGTTTGTGTATGTGTAACCTTATTGAATGAAGATGTGCATGTAGATGATCTCATTACTGGGTGAGATTCTGACAGATAGCCTGAAGCACTGATAGACTGTGTGTTTGCATGTTGTACACATGAATAATGAACAGCTGTGTTTCTGTGGGTGAGTCAAAAAGCACAACAGCATACAGTGGTGTGTTATTTACACACAAATACAAATGCAGCGCGGTGAAGACAGGAACATGGCAGCCGGTGTGTTGCATTGAAATGGAAAACGCAGAGAGCAGACAGAATGTTGGGGTGATGAGAGCAGGAAACAGAAGCCAAAGACTCAGGAAAAGAGGGCAAGCGCTGCAAACTGAACATTATCTGAGTGTGGATGTTCTGCGTGGTACAGATATAATGTAATGGAAAAACAGAGAGAGGAAAAAACAACTGGGGGAGTTTTGGAAAAACTTTGACTAATAGCTGACTGTACACACTATAACTATAAGAGAGAACTTGTAATTCACAGCATATACTGTTGCCAGAATAAGGACAACAACAACAACAATCTCTTTGTTTGATGAAGACAGAATCATCCTAACATCTAACACATGAACAACATGAAAACCTCCACAGTGTCATTGACATGAAGGCATTGCAGCAGAGTTTAATGTTGCGGTGCCTAATTACAACTCTAACTGTACTTGGCCACCAATCTTTACTGGCCTACACAGAAAAAATAAATAACTTTGTTAATATATGTGAGAAAGATTTTTTCTTTGGGAAAATGTCATACTATCTCTCTCAATTATAACTGTCCTTGCCCTTATATATGTCTCTTGATAGAAAGTAAATATTCATCGTTTTCTGAGAGATTCTTAAAAAAGCTCTGGGAAACAGCAGATGAAACTTCCAAAGAAAGAAGCTGCATTAGAACACTATCCAGCAGCTCTACTTAAGGTGCAGATTTACAGCGACATTTGATTCGGCTGCTTCTTGAAAATATTGTCTTACATGAAGCTAACTTGTGGCTCTAAAAAGGTTAGGGACCTCTGTGTGAGTGAACTACAACCAAAGAATAAACTGAGAATGTAATTACAGCCAGAGGAAAACATTTATTATGCAATTGCTGCCAAATGTTTGTGTGATCTATAAGTTATCTATAATTTGTTGAAATAATTTTGCTCTAAATTTATTGGTCTGTTTAAAGCTTCGTAAGACTCTTTTTATTGCATCTTAGCATTTGCCTTTGCTCGGCTTGGGACTTACCATTGTATCACATAGTGACAGAGACATTTTATACTTCCTCAAGTATAACATGTCCTAGACAAGTATGGTCAGGAAAAATTGGGACAAAACGAAATGTGACCTCTGCTTTTAACCCATCACCAAAGTGAACAGTGGGCAGCTTTAACGGGAGCAGTGTGTGGGGACGCTGTCATGCTCAGAGCACCTCAGTGGTAACTTGGCAGCTGGTGGACTCTAACCTGAAGCCTTCCAGACCCAAGTCCGCTTCCTTAACCACTAAGCCACCACTACCCCAAAAAATTAAACTATATTTAAATAAACAAAAAAAAACATTATGGACTTAAGTTACTGATGGTAAATCATTTTTGACAATGCAACAACACAACACACAACAAGAACTAAATATAGCTATGTACAATACAAGACACCTTTTGTTAAGGTCATAGATTGGGAAGAATCAGTGGGTCATTTTTGAATGCACTTTAATCCTCCACATACTATAAATCAATGGCAAATGAAACACTCTAAGACAAAGATGTCTTACTCCTGCCCTTCTACTGGCGCACACACACACACAGAGCCAGCACACAGATGCAGATGCCGACACACTCTTCACATTCACCATTAGGATTCTCGTACAGCGGAGTCTTTGTTTGTCACCATCTGCGCCTGAAGGACTAAACTAAATGAGGCAGAGAGAAAGTCAGTGAGAGAAAATAACTCTACTGCCTGGTGAAGGACTGCTCTTTTGTCTCATCTAGCTGCGGTTGGAGTCTGATGCTGCACCAGTGACCACATGCTCAGAGAACAGCAGGAACCAAGCAGTGCAACGTGGAGCCTGGTGGGTGGTTGACAGGAAAATGTATCTGTATGGGCAGTCGGGCTGGATTTATAATGTGTGACACAGAAAACTTACAAAGGTTAAAGGAATCCTTCCTGAATTTACAGTTGTTCAAACAACAGATACTGGACCGTGTGTAGTGTGTATAGATGTGACGGCTTCATAGCGATTCGTGAACGCATACAAATACACGTGTACCGACAAATCAACAAATGTATGCTCAAGGAAATGTTCTGGAGTAATTCTGAATGAGACATGGCCTGATGGAGAAGCCTTTTACAATTATAAAAAATAAATATTGTTTACTCTAAAATAAGTTCAACCTTGGGTTTATGTTCTAAGTGAAGTGCTTAAGTTCCAAACAACCCATTATAACATTATTTTTAATATTCAAAACTGGGAATGAATTGAGTTCAAAGAGAAGAAAACTTGAAGAAAACAGCAGACATAAAAGATCTGAGAGAAAAAAAATTCAAAATTTTAAGTTTAAAAATAGACAGCAACATATATGTATACATATCTAGACAAAACCCCATCTACAAAAAAGGACTTTGAGACTGAAAATGTGCACCAGGGTTAAAGAGACATCTGAAAGCAATATGTCTAATAAATTCTAATATAAAATGAAATATATTGGAAGTCTTACAAGGGACTAAAACACTTTGGCAACATAATCTAAATGCCCTCACGATAATGAAACAGACTAGGGTCCAAAAAGGGAGAGACTAAAAAAAAAACAAAACAAAAAAAAACCGACTGGAATACGTTGGAAAACTTACCTGAAACCTGTTAAATACTACATCTAACCTAAGTGCCTTTTGCCTTTTTAGCAGTATCAGAGTTAATCCATGTTCGTCCTTACCTGTGTGCAGGTATCCGCCTGTCTCCAGCTACCAGTATGACATCACACAGCTGCCGGTTCCTCAGGTAGCCCTCCATCTTGCGGAAGGTCACGTCAGCGTGGGACATGGCGGTGAAGAGAGACTCCTCTGGACATGCACAGGGTTCCATAGACATGCACGAGGACAGCGTGGCACTGCTGTTTGACGTTCTGGAAACAATGAGACATAGACACAGACAGACAGGCAAAGGAAGCTGTGAGTGCAAGTTAAAAAAATGCTGATTTCTATTAAGGACAAAGTAACAGATGTCCAGGAAGCTGCACAAGCTGCTTTGTATCCTTATTTCTGTGGAACACTGTCACACATGTACTTGTTCTTTTTGATCGCCTTTTCAATACAGTATGTCACCAGAAGCACATTAATGGTTCAATTACTAGAAGTAAATGGCCTGATAAATTTAGCTCACTTAAAAGATGAGCTGCCAGTTAAACGGCTGTGGGAGCTCCGCTGATAGAACATGGTGGTTTTAGTGTTCGGGTCCATGGCTTTGAATTCATCCTTCATCTATTCAGAGCTGATGAGGTGTGAGTATGTGAGGAAACAATAGGTGTGTGCATGTATGTTCGTCACCGTTAAACACTGCATACACAGCCTGTAAATCATTAGCCAGCATGGCTCCCAGACCAGCATTTCATTTAGGGGAACCTGAGAGCTACCTCCATTTTAATTTAACGACAGAAGGGATGTAACTGGCTGTGAAACACCATAATAATAACGATATAAATAAAGGTTGGAAGCAAATACTATTTCACTTCAGCAAAGGAAAATAAATAGTTCTTTATGTTTTGGTATAAAACATCCTACAGACCTGATTCTCCATACTAATTTGTTTTACTTGTGATAAAACACAACTGCATCAGTGCTTTGATCAATATCTGTACAGTCAAATACATTTCTTATTGCACGTATTTTTTTGCTCAACCAACCATGGGCCCACAATGCTCTAACCTGGATTGCTGCTACAGTGAAACTATATAAGATGAACCATTGGCAGCACATTAATTAGTAGGACTTGATTAAAGTGTCTTATTGTTTTTCCACAGAGGGACTGCTCCTTCACTTGAGGGGGTTTCCCTACTGGTCAAACAGCAAAAGAATACAGCGATATTACTGTGTTTTGCTATTAGCACGTGAGATAATAGGTTTTACCTGGTGTGCTTTTAGTGTTCTTTTGGCCTGGCACTACTATTTCTCTTTTCCTTCTGAACAACAACTCTGAGAGAGCAGAGAGTAACTGGGACTCTACCATCTGTCAGTGATATTGGCCAACTGGAGGCATTAGCTGTATTTCTATTTAAAGACTTGGTTAACTGATTCCAAAATGGCCTAAAAATGCTCTACCAGCTAAAATAAAATATGAAATCCAAACTTGTACCGACTCTGCAGACTCCTGCCATGACGTCTACCAAGAAATGTGCACAGTCACTTGTTAATAAAATAACCTGCTTTTGAATTTTATTAGGCTGAACATTGTGGTCTGCTTGTTTTAGATTTTTTCATTATATTTAAATAAATATGGACAACAGATAGAGCCAAAGGAAAGGAGGGACTTTTTAATATCAATTTGTAGTTGAGAAAAAGCTAATTGTGCTCAAAAGGCAAAAAACTAGTTACATAAACAAAACTGGAATATTAAATTACATTTGGAGGGTTGAAGTTAGAAATATGCTATTTGGAGTTATTTTTAGGTTGAAATATAAATTAGTAATGACTTGTCAATAATAAGTGGTTTTAAAGGCTCCAGTTACACCTTTTGTGCAACGTGCTCATCTTCTCTGTGCTTCTCCACATTTATCTTCTTTCCTTTCCTCCATTTTTGATCTTCATCTCATCTCATCTATCACTCAGTTCATAGGACTCTCACCTCATTGTCTCAGCATCCATCTTCGCCTACATTCTTTCCCCCTCTATCTCTGCTTCATTCTCTCCCTCTTTCATTTTCTATTTTCAACCAACAAGGTGACACAGGAAAACAAACACATGAAATGTTAATTTTAACACAACTAAAAGAGATTAGTTTGATTGCACTAAGACATTTCAAGTCTTTTACTGAATCTGACAGACACACCTTAGAAAAAAGAACAGACACAAAAGAAAAAAAGGAAGGAAGGAAAGAAGATTGGGAGGAAAAAAAACATAACAGCTCAATTTTTGAACCACTGCACCAAACACCGTCCTTCGCCCAGCTGTCAACCAACCACAAACACGACCATTATATCACATAATGATCATGTAACACCCTGTGTTGAGTGCCTCAACCAGAAATCACAAATAGTTGAAATGCATGAGAGGATCATGTCAGTGATCTAATAGAGAGTCGGTATGGGAAGCACACTGGGATTAAATCCCAGGAGGATGGGTTGATTAAGAACCCGAGGAAGGGAATGAGATGGGCTGAGCCTTCAGCCACTCTGGAATTCAGCCTGCGTCCCTTCTCATGATGCCATTTGGGATTCTGCCACCTATGTTCTTGCTGCTCTCACAGGGAGAGGATAAATAGTGTCATACTCATATAAATCACCAAACTTGCCTGCACGGAGCTACACGTACTGCAGAAACTTATCTTCGTGTTGGTATGGCAACCACAACATGTGCAAGGACATGGCTTCATGCTGTATATGAACGTGCACAATGCATAACCTCTGAATGTGTTCAGGCGCATGCTATCAAGTGTTCTGTCTTCACCATTGCTAACGAGGCTGCATAGTGCACGCTCTGCTAATAGTGATGGATTCTGATTAACTTTATGATGAACTCTGCATGACAATAGACCCTGAGAGCTGAATTTATATCATTTTTATAGTTGATGTTTAAGAATGTAAGACATTCAGATACATGAAATTTAAAAAATACTGTTTTATGATGAAAGAAATGTGGTGGTTTTTGCAAAAAGGATGAAAAGAGAAAGAAAAACAATGCTTTGATAAGTAAACAAGTGATTTGGTCATTAAAATGCACCACATTTGCAGGATGATCATAGATGCATGGATGTTCCGTTTATATAATTTTAAATGGAATTTAAAATGCTAAATTTATTTTTCACTACATAATCATTTTCAATAAAACTATAACCTTATTCTGCATGGGAAGCAATGATGTACGACATCCTTGTCATTACTACATTCACACACCAACTCAACAGCTTCCATACTGCATGTGCATGACATAATAATGCAGTGCATCAAATACTTTCAGGGAGGATGGTGAGACATTATAAATGTCACGCACAGAACACAATACAACTACATGTGGGGATCTTCCCTGCAGTCGATTAATTAATTTAAGAAAATCATATATTCACATTTGTAACAATTGTGTTGGTGTTATAACAGAATGTTGTTGGCAGAGCTCGTCAGGAGGTGGGAGAGTGGAACTCATTAGACTACATGGATTCCCAAAGGTACACAGCCATCATTTCCTCCCTCCTTCTGTCTGTCTCTAGTGAGTCAACCTCCAGCTACTGCATACTGTATGACTGTTCTCTAGCTTGGAAATAGCATTTCACTTTGATTTGCTATGAATAGAAATGAAATTTAAATAATATTATATTGTTAGAAATATAATTACAATTAGAATGTCAACAATTAGTTGAATAAGAGTGTGTAACTGGCTGCTAAATTAATTAATCATTTTAGGTTACATTTTTTATTTCATTTTTTGTGTGACTGGACATAATTAGAAGGTTTAGATTTTTGACACACACACATTATGATAAATCACATTATTTTGGTACGTACATAAAGTATAAATTATTGCTTGCAGTTGATCTTTTTAAAAAACAGCCAAAAAATCACAGCATTGAGAACTTAACAGTCAATATAAGTAATTTTTGCTCTAAATTGACAAAAAAAAAACAGTCGATAATCAACTGTGTTTGTAATCGGCTAATGGTAAATGTGGACATCACATAACATTGATACCTATGGTCAATTCATAGTGTCAATCAACCTACTCCCCATCAAGCATGTTTCTGGGCTGTGGGAGCCGCACGCACACGGGGAGAACATGCAAAATCCATACAGAAAGATCAACCAGGAATGGCAACTCGCGCACCGGTGATCTTGTTTACAAGTAGCTTTTTTTTTCAAAATTAATTTTCAACTAAAGATATTGCTCAGTCATTTCATGTGTGAATGAGTGTTTTTTGTTTTTATTTTCCTAGTTTGCACGTTCCTACTTAGTAAGTGAGCTTAAACTAAGTCCCTCACATCCACCTTCGTACCTGCAAGAGCTGGAGTCAGTTTCCGGATGGTTGTTCTCCTCAGTGGCCGCCGCTGCCACTCCCGCAGCCACCTCCTCCTCTGCTCCGACACGGTCAGAGGGATCAGCTTCCAGCGGAGGCACTGGAGTGTCGTCGGAAGGTTGAATGCTTGTCAACGGACGAGAGCGACGGTGAGGCGGCGGTGATACCCAGGACAGCCCCGCGGCTGAGCTTCTGCACTCCGGCTGGCTGAAGGAGCGTGGACAGGAGCTGCCCGTCGCTCCTACAGCCGCTCCTCCCGCACTGAGGCGACTCCCTGCCGGTTCTGCAAACTTTCTATTGCCGGGGCTTCCGTGACACAGATTAGAGCCAGCGCTGCCGCTGGCTACCAGACCGCCGTGACCGCCAGAGCTGAGAGTGACGCCAGCTGAAACCGAGCCGCTGCTCCCGGTAACCGACGCTCCTTCAGCGGGGCTGCTCACTGCTCTCCTTCCGGCAAAGTATTCTCCTAACGGCGGGGCGTGAGGCGGAGGCACCGCGGGGTGACCGAACCACCTCCATCTGATCCTGAGGATCTGCTTTACGTCGAACTCCTTCTTTGAAGAAGAGCCCGAGCCGCTACTCGACATTCCAGGGCTCGGGGGAAGGAAATGGCGGGGAGAGCTGGTGCCGCTCTGCCGTTACAGCGCAGCGATTAAAGTGATGGCAAACGCACGGCGGGTAACCGCGACTGTAGGGAGTGAACGGAACACAGCGGAGTATATGGACAGAGAACGGGGGTGGGGTGGGGGTCTACTCATGAGTTTCAACCTTGGTTTTCCATGCACAAACCAGACCACTAACATTTTCCACTGAGAAAAAAAAGAATCATGTCACAGCTCGGCCAAATAATACTTGGACCACGAGTATAATCACCCACATTCAGCATGCCACAGAAACAGCCCTCATTCAATAGATGCCTGTGCACAACTGACAAAAGTCATTACAAGGGCTTTGAAAAAATGTGAAGAACAGGGTTCTGGTTTTGTTAGACCCACAATTGTACACTATGCATATGTGTGGATGTTCTTTTGGTAGTAGTCCAAAAACGTCTAGGCTGAAAATGAGGTTTTATTGGTCATTGTGATTGACCGTAGGTACATGGTATGGTCGTATATGGTGCATTTATGGTCAGGGTGATCTCCCAAAGCACTCTAAGTTTAGCCATCTACCAACCAGCAGCCAGGTTGCCAGGGTGAAACATATAAACGACCAAGCCTGGAATCGATCTGCAGAGCCCATTGGTTGTTAGGCAACCTGAGTTGTTTGTCTCTTATGTGATTCTTTGATAGAGTCTGACCTGTCCAGGACTGGCCAGGACTCCACATACATTAACAGGATTAGGCAGCAGACGATAGATGGGAAGATTAAAAAAAAAAACCAACAACATCAGAGTTATTGATACTTTTGTTGTTTTTTTTCCAGATGCTATTCTGACATTAATAGATGGGAAGATTTAAAAAAAAAAAACAACATCAGAGTTATTTTTGTTGTTATTTTTTTTCCAGATGCTATTCTGACATTGGTGTTTACAGTAGGTGGTCTGTTGAATCAAACTGGCAGCTACTGCAATATATGTGGCTTCCTACTGTAACAATTAACTGCAATTAACTCAAATATGCATATATTTATTAAATGAGTACTACAATATATTGCTATTATCACTTTAAAGTATTTAAATTATGATGTTTTGAGTGAATGGCGCTTTGGCCCAGAGGCAATGTCTCATTGGTGTGGAACCCCAGGGTTCACCTCTTGGGCAACATCGATTCCCAATGGACTCACCACCCACAGGAAGGTTCAAGAGGGGCTGGTGCGGTGCACTGATATTTGGGTGGCGGTCATGGAGACTGCTGCCCCCGCAACCTATTAACAGATAAGCGAAGATGGATGGTTGGATGGATGTTTTGAGTGAAGACCGTGCCAAAGTTTCAGCTGTGGTTATCACTAAATGTCTGTCAATATCCCAGGCCTCACACTTAACAAAAGGCCTGAACTATCTGTTTAAAACAGTAACAGGGTCAGGGATAGGTGAAGTGTGAGAAAGTAAGTAAGGTACACACGGCACAATAATTTTAAATCAATACCATGTCCTCCTCCCTAAAGAATAAAACCCTGTATCTGTGTCAATGTGTGTAAGTGAGTGAACACTAAGGTTTGTGAGGGTGCAGCAATTATTAGGTGTTCCTCAAAGACTCTGAAATTTAATGAGGCAAAGGACACTTCATCTTTATCATCCTCATTTCTGCTCCGCCTGTTCCCTGCCTACTCTTACCGTTCTCTACACGTCTCACTCCATCTCTCTCCCTCTCCCTTTCAAACTCTCTCTCTCTTACCAACAATCCTACTTTATTTAAAAGCCTGTCTGCAAGATGAGGATGTGCAGATCTGTTGTTTAAATCACCACAGCCAGTGTCCTTGAAAAAGAAATTTCTCATGTCCCTGCCACAGTTTCACAGACACGCACGCACGCACTCACACGGCTCCATCTCTCGTTCCCACAGACCACTGTTCTTTTGCAATGCTACTCTTGTGTCCTATCTACCTGTCCTCCTCTCTCTATTCCCTCCATCTGCAATGCAGCAGCTATTCATAGACAATAATGATCAGTGAGAGTGAGTCCTGTGGGAGCAATCCCATCCAGATGCCTGGAGAACCCAGCAGACCAGCAGCAGAACTTCTGCAGTAACCCTGGGCTGACCATAGGATAAAAGAGAGCTGTGCAGCGGGAACACAGTATGTTGTGGGATGAATGCCCAACACAAAGGGAGGGATGCTTTAGTGGGCCATACTCAAAAATCAATATGTCAAACAGCTGGGGTCAGTTTATAAATCATACAGATGGCAGTTGTGTAACTCGTAAATTGGCTCTGTCGACCAACAGCCAGGTTTGCAGACTGGTATTCCATAAATAAATGAGCTCAAATTAGCAGATGGATACGAATTATTTACCCTCAACTTTCAACCCTCTGCTACCAGAAACATAGGGTTTTCTCTTTGGTTCCTGAATGAACTGACAGCTGAATATAAGACCACCCTGCTGCTCTATCTGATCAATACTACCAAGTCAATACACATACACTCACAAGTATGAGCTGTAAGGAGGCATGCAAGCAAACTACACTGTTAATATGGGGGGTGGGGGGGTACAGGGATCCAGGCTGGTTTTTTTCTTTTTTCACTATGGATCAAAGCATCAAATTGCACATTGTGATCACCACAACAACTTTAAAAATAAATATTTATTACATCCAGCTAGGTGAGTTGTGACTTCAAAAATTTCATTGGTTTAATTGATCAATTTGGCAATATTTACACAGGGCCACTTACAAACTTCTTTTTTTTTTTTACAAAACTACTTAATTAAATATTTAAAGACTTAAGTGTTTTTACTCTGTGCTAATATATCCTTGTGCTAAGGGTACTGTAATGGTCCTTTAACTGCTATCAGTAAACAGCTCCTTGTCTTGTCGGTGCAGCAGCTGAGAAATCAACAGAACGGAGTTCATGTGACTTTATATCTTTAGTTTCTTTCTTTTCTACAATTCTGGATAAAAAACAAATAAAATCACCAATCAGGTGATAGATGTTACAGGAGGACGGTGAGGCCAAATAAAGGTTACAGAAGGAAAACAGTCAATCTCATTCCACAAGGGACACTGTGTCCCACTCCTATCAGCTAAAACAACAAACTGAGGTCCAGTACATACTTTTTTCCTAAAATTTGACAATAGATGTTTGGATTAGGGTTGCCTGGTTTGCCATCCTGGTCTCTTCCAGTGAAAATCTCAACAACAGCCACTGTCTCTAACCATACATCATAGCAGGTCTCACTAGTGTCTTATGGACCTTCCTTTTCAAATCTGTTGCTATTCTTCTGTCACGGATCACCCCTGACACCTCATCTCCATCTATTTCACCCCAACCGAAGCCATTATTTTAACTTTTTTTGTGATCAACACTAGGTAACATTCATAAATCCAAAAACCAGACTCCTAATAAATTATTTGTTTTATAACGGCTAACAAAGGGCAGTAAGGATGAGGCTCTGGGGGGACATGAATCTGAGGAGTGATGGGTCTTTCAGCTGGGGTCTCTTCTACTTGGATCTAATCACTGGTCACTTGGCAGGAGCCTCCTTGAGCTGCTGACTCTTATTGGTCTCCTGACTGTTGTTTTCCAAGGTTGTAACTCAAAACTCTCTGGCATATCTTTATGGCTCAACAGTACAGAAGCCCCCCCCCCCACACACACACACACACACACAGCTAAAATGACACCATGAAATCCCATTTACACCACACAGAGCATGCAGGCACTCAAGAGAGTCTGCAAATTTAACCCAGAAATCCCATTTACATTTATGTTGTCATTTTTAAACATTCAAACACACACACATACAGGCAAACACAAATACAGAGGCAAATAAAAACAGGTAGCAGTCATCTGGGGAAAGCTGTCGTAAAAAATATTTTATGGGGCCAGAAAGTAAAACATTATCTGTCTGGCCCAAGTGTGATGATCAACTCATCTCTCATGACTGATGTTTATCTTCTGCTGGCCTTCTTCCAACCCCTTCCTCCACTGCATCTCTACCGCTCTATAATTCCTACTACCTTCTCTCTTTCTGTACATTTTCTCCCCTTCATCGTGCTCAGTTCTGTCAGCGCTCTTTCCATTTCCACCCTCCCTCACCTTTATTCTTTCCCATCTCTTTCCCAACCTCAATTTCCTTTTCCCCATCCTCTCTCCCTCTCCCCCTTTGATGAAAGCTCGGTGATTCTCTTTGGTGAAGACCTGCAGGGACAATGCTGTAGAGCCACTGTTCTGAATAGGCTCAAAGACACTGAGGTATACACTAATATCCACTCACTATACATTCTGCATGCATTCACACAAAAGAAAGCAAAGTTCAAACACACATCCATATAAATACACACATATACACACTTGTCTAATCTGCGTGTTGACTGGTACAGTGGCTGTAGGCGAGTCTGTCCTTGAGACTCTGAACAGGCTCAGACTGGCCAAGCAAATAATTACCTCTTCACACTGACAAGCCAGCTGTGCCCAGTGTGTGTGTGTGCGCGCTTGTGATTTCAATTATATCGATCTGGAGAATTTGATATTAAACAGAAAATTAATTTGGTACAAACAAGAAAAGGCCTGTGTGCATGGAAATGAGGGGAGGTGTCTTATAGAATGTAGTGAGTGATGGGAAGGAGAGTGAGACGAGTGCAAACTACAACTAGAAAATGTGATGTGAAATGGAAAAAAAAACCCCAGCAGGTTCAATAACACCCAGACTGCTTCCAGTAGGATTTTGTCCACACACAGACTTAACTAGGTTGGTCCCTAAATACTGTACTCTCACTCAATAGGGACCAGCACTGTGTTACAAGGACAAAGCATCTCCACAACAACTGTATTTCCCCTTAAAAATGTCCACAGAAGTGCAGCAATACCAGGAACAGACACACACACACACACACACAGAGACTTACATTATCTTTTCTCTCTACAGTTATGTTGAATAAAACATAACAGTAAAGTGTGTCACAGTTTTGCACAGAGTATGAAGGACTAAGGTTCACCTTCTGTATAAAACCAGACAGTTGTGTGTGTGTATGTGTGTATATGTGGGGGGTTACATCTGTGTGCGCTGGATCAGTGGGTAAAGTTGCAGGACTCTTACAAGAAGATACACACACACACACACACACAGGCCCTATCACATTGATCCATAACTACTGCTGCTTCAAAGAGAGAAAATTGTTTCTCCATTTCCATCCAAAAGCACTTTGCCTGAGAACACAAACTCACGTACAAGCACAGATTTACTTTAAAGAGGGAGGTAGAAAGCGAAATTCAACCATATTTAAAAAAAAGTTTTTATACAATTGTACACCTGTATTTTTTTTTCAAATGGTGATGAAGATGACAATGGGCTCTGTGCACAGTTCTACTTCAGCTCCCTCAGCATCATACTTTCCGCAAAATGGCTAACTTTTACTCCTGATGTCTCCAAGATCTGCTAATAACTATTAATCATTATTATATTTCTATGACAATCAGTGAACTTGTTTTTAAACCTTGTGTTCCCAAACCCTTGGTCTGGGCACAGTGTTTTTGGTCAGGTTGATGTTATCCCTCCAGGTCTTCTGCATCAACTCAGCCCACACCACAGCAGAGACTGAATGTAAAATGACTTTCTTGATATAACGCAACAAAACGGTGCTTAACGGCACACAAACATAAATTGCTGTAAAATTAAAACTCAACTCTTAAACTCAATCGCTGCTATCTCCCTTTTTAGCAAATTGTGTATTTGCCCACACACTCAAGTCCAAACAACAGCACAACAATAGAGTACAGTA